CAATCGACCGTTTAAAAATGGGAGGGAATATGCCAGAGAGAATCGAAGAATTTATGATGGAGGTGAGTGCTGGGAGGAGGACGTCAAGGCATTCTACAAGCAGTGGGACGGGGATAGGATCGAGGGCACAAGACTTGGGAGCAGACCTGATGATGACTCGCCTCACCTCATCCTCAGTCACAGGCAGAAAACTATCAAATGATTCTGTCTGACTAACGTCCTCCGAGAACGGTGAGGAAGGTGTAGGGGTCGCGCTGTCTAGCTCCTCCCTGATCGTTTGCACCCTGGTGATGAAAAAGTCCGCAAAGGCGTCAGGGAGTTGCTCTGGTGCAATGTCGGTGGTGCAATTAATAACTATAGACTACTGCTTACACCTCATACTATTTACAACACAATTTACAAAAAATGGTCTAGCCTACTGTACTCACTGGTAAAATATTAAGAATGGGCACCTTACGACTTACATAATGTAAGGGAAAACGTTGGGGCGTGTCGGACGGTTACCCCTAAGCGGCGATCCACGGACGTGTCAAAATTGCTCATCATAGTTAAAATGAATAAATATATCAAATAAATGTTTTTGTTTCATAGGCATGTTTCCTTGTTTGGCATTATGCTACATTGTTAGTGGTCCCCTCAGTTACAAAGATTACCGGATACCGTAATAATGTTTGGGGGTTGACAGAGAGACATGCGTTGAGGAGGGTGAGGGAGTAAGTGTATAAGTATAAGTGACGGAAATATGATAATGATACGAGGGCAGGTGATTAAGGGGAAAACTTATTTTAGAATAATAACTATTTCGGTAAACGATTTAAAAAAAATGTTATCAGCTCTTTGCCGATTAGACTAATATAATATTTCTTTAAAAATATGAATCACACCATTCCTGTAGTGTTTGTAGACCCAGAATGCCAAAATTATTATATTATAACTTATAAGGGTAAATTTACTAGAATAAAAATACAATTTTAAATCTCTGCATAAACAACATACTGACTATAATGAGTATGATTCAGATGATACGGAGTAGCCTAATAGTACATAATGACATTAAACAACTTTCATATTAGAAATTCTAAAAAAATATTTTAGACAAAAATTGTTTGCATATAAAAAAAAAAGTTGTTTTTAAGAAATCCATTTTCAACATGGCGGAAAAGGTATTGTACTATGTCATTCTCGATTCTGGTGATGTTTATTTATATATAATTTTGTTTTGTTTTTAAATTCCAATTTCATAATATAGCTTATACATTACTTGGCCTACCCATTACTTTAATATAAAGCACCAAGGAATCAAATTGATGAGCTTTCGTCAAATCTTTGCGACAACAATCAATACAATAATGTAAATGATCTAAATGACTAATTACTAATTACTAATTGTCATGAAAATGATAGTTCAGTCAGTCAGTTCAGTAGTCATAGTACTGAGGACAGGAGTGAGTAGTAGTAGGGTAGTCAGTAGTAGTGGTAGTAGAAGTCGTCAAGTCGTAGTAGTCTTATTAGTAGTAGTAGTTAGTTTTTTAGTAGTGAACTGAATGTGAAAAGTAAAAAAAAAGTGATGATGATATTATGCTTATAACTTATAACTTATACTCAAACACTAACACTGATTTACTGATACTTACTCTTAGTGATAGTGATATCTAATAGTGATAGTGATACTGGAAAGTAAGTAGTAAAATAGGCCCTATCCCTATTTATATATTTTTAAAAAATAAGAGTATGGGGGGGGGGGGGGCGACGAAGGCAAGCTTACTTAGACTTAGTCTTTGACTAGGTATCGACCGGAAATACCCGAAAAAGGGGTGTTGTATTTTCGTTGTCATCATGGCCACCGTGCTTGTCTGCTTATTTCCAATTATTGATAGCAGCCGTGGGGTAATTAATAATTCATTAAGTTGGTTATCCAGAGTGTAAATGGGAAATATGAATATAAATAAAAAATGTTTTATAACATAAATAATTATTATTGGCTTATTTGAATATCAGTGATTTTAATTTTTGGGTCTGTTGCCATAGACCTGGCTGACACTGACATGGCCGACATGGGATTGATAAGCCATGTCTTTGACTTAGATATGCTTAGTAAAAGTATTATGATAGTAATTATACTATTATTAATGATTTAAGTGGGATAAATAGCTTTTATTACAACTAATATTTGTCATTTTTATTAGTTTATATATTTATAGATAAATATTTATTTGTATATGTATATATATATATATATATATATATATATATATATAATGACCATAGGCTATAGGCGTTGTATACATATAGTATAATACAAAGTATACTACATCAGGGTTAAGGCCTAGACCCAACCCAACTTACTTGTAGGGTTTTTATAATAAATTATATTTAATGATATTTTAGGATATGTAATAAAATTTTAATGAATATTGTGATTCTTACTTAAGGCATAAACTAAGTAAAAAATTTTAAAATATTCACACCTTTGGTATTGAAATATCCTGTATTAAAATCACATATCACAATATTCCACAAGAGAATTATTATATAATCCTCAGTTTCTCAAAGAAAAAACGCACTTTCTGGCACAACAATCCCAGAATTACTTAAGATATTTTACTAAAGAACAATCATAAAAACCTGTAACTGACTAGAACTTATTTTATGTTCTATTAACTGCTAAAGTCAAAGTTGATTCTAATAATACATGTTGATTTGTATAACAAGATTACAAACTTAAAATAAATGACATGCTGATTATTTTGTCATACTTATATAGGAATAATAGAATATATGATATACGGTACATATGTAGAAAATCGTAAAATAAAAAGTGTAATTGTCAATTTTAAATAAATAAAACAAATAATCCCTTTATTATTTGTTTATGCTTATAAATGCTAAACAATTCCACAGAAAATCTGCAATTAATATCTAAAGAATATTATGATTATTTTTGGGCAATTAAAAACAAAATTAAAACAACATTTTAATTAATTAATTACTCTTATTTAACTATGTTCCCTGTAAATATTATATTTTTGTCTCATTTTATAATAAAGTTATAGGCGTTAAAAAAAAAAAAGCAAAATGAGGGTCACAAAATGTGGAGGAAAATCCCAAAGTAAAAAAGTGGTTTTGAGTTCCCTACTAAAAAAATCATAACTTTTGAACCACTTCAGCTAGAAAGTTGATCTTGGTGTTTTTGTAATCTATTCTCCAGGCTCTATACAGCTGTAGTATTTTTATATTTTTAAAAATGTTTTGAAATTTTCATCAAAGTGGCTGCTTTGACTTTCAGCAATATCCGATCTGGTGATCAATAACCATGACTGCTATTATTAATTATTATAATTAATATAATTTTGAGTATGACATGAGATTTTCATTTAGTATGATACATGATCATATCCAATTAATAATTAAAGTTTATTTTAAGGCTGCGGCTATTCGGAACCAGTATCAGAAGTGACTGGTTGGGTTTATTAAAAAATATTATTGCATAGTATGGTTATAACGACAAAATTTGGTATCAAAAGAAAGATACTTTAATGGACTATATTCAGTTTAAGTTTAACTAAAATAAACTACCACAAATGACATCTGAATAGCATTTAGTCTAAAGGGACCTGGGTCCGAATAGTGGCGATGCATGTCCGGATCCATTTTGACTAAATGCTAGTCGGAAGTCATTTGTGGCAGTGTATTAAACTGAAAAATTTCATTTGATGCCAAATGTTATCTTACAAACCCAGCAATAATATTTTTAACATTTTTAAATCCCAACCTCTCACTTCTGGTAATTTTCCGAATAGCCACTTCGTTAAAGTAACGTTAGGCATTGATTGAACTAATATTTATTATCAGGCCTACACTGACTGAAAAATACTGACAGTGATGTGGTTTACTAACTTAGCCAACCCAAAAGTTACTGAACTTACTCTGTTTCTTTAGGCTAAGGCCTGCCTTATTGGCTTGGAATATGTACTTAGTTACTTAACCTTAGCGGTAAGGCCACTGGCCAGTGATGACTTCCACAGTGTATAGGTCATGGTAGTTCATTTTTTAATTTTTGTCTTGAAAGTGGGGAGAGATCTCCCCACCCCAGAAAATTATATTGAAATGTTCAGTGAAATGGCAACATGTTAGAGATTAATATAATGCAGGTAATTCTTTTTCTAACCAATATCTTAAGACTGTACATTTAGCAATGTGTACATCTTTTTTAAAAATCTGTGTTCATCTTGGGATATCAACAAGGATAAGGTTCTTTTTAAAATTTCTTTTGAACTTTATATGTTTTTAATTTTGAAAAAGGAATAGAACGTTATATTTCATATCAAGTTTATCAATCAATCATCAGAGTTAGTTAATGACACAAATAATGCTCTGTGACGAATGGGAAAGTTATCATTCGGGTCTTTTCACCTAAGTCCAGTGTTGGGATTCCCCAAAGTAAAAAAAAAAAAAAGTGACATCACTGCACTTAGGGTGAGGCAACTCTTGGCAAAACCCATACTGCTAAGTATATCCTTACCAGCCTAATTGTTTGAATATTGATATTGCATGTAGTAAGATTCATTGAGTGAGTAGCCCTTAATCCATAGTAATTTTATAGACTGGAGTTTTTAATCAGCAATGTAGTATAACTTTTCCAGATTATGGGATAATGAATTTATCCTTAGCATTTAGTTATCGCATGAGTGCCAACAAAGTTTATGTCTGATTTTAATCAGTAACTGACGAAGTGTTAATGATTATTAATATAAGGGGAAATATATATTAACGATCTTATGCATAGACTATTCATAGATTTTGATCTTCCATCAAGCACCTCCCAAGGTGGAGAATAGGGTAAAGCCAACCAGCTATGGCTATAGCTGGGAAATAAAATAACTGGGGCCAACCAAAATTAGATCCTACTGTCTTGTAGGAAGTTGAGGGATCCACAAAGGCTAGTGAACCTAACCCAAAAATGAAGGCAGCTACCTAGAGAGCTGCAATGGGCAGCCCCCTAGATGGTTGTGCACAGGGCTAACAACCCAGCCATGTAAAAAAAAAAAAATGTTACAAAAGCCAAACAACAAAACAAAACCCAGACTGATACTAATGGAAATTGACTTATGCCTGGATATGGACATGATTTTTGGATTGCGACTTGGTAAGTACAATGCCTATGTAAAGCAGTAGCAAATCTAGAAATTCAATGGAAAAATGCAGACATCCTCAAGACTACACCATATTTTCTATTGGCAACAACACTAACTCAATAGAATAGGATTTGCCCTGCAGAAAGAAGCCGTCAGTGCAGTCAGGGGTTTTAAAGCAGAGGATGAAAAATTGTGCTCTTTGCGCGTGCGAGGAAAAATGTTTAATATAACATTTATAAATGTTCATTCTCCCAAAGAAAATCCTTTTAAGAGACGCTGGAAAAGATCTATGATGAGGCACCACAACTTGATATTAAAATAGTGATAGGCGACTTAAATTCCAGAATATGGAAAGAAAAAGTGTTTATGTCAACTATTGGCAAGAAGAGTCTCCATGAAGAATCTAATGACAATGGGATCTGACTCATAGACTTTGCTTCAAGAAAAGGGATGACAACAGCAAAAGGTTTCCACACAAAAATATACATAAAGTTACTTGGAAATTACCAGTTGGAACCACTCATAACCAATTGACCATGTTCTGAACAATCAGAGGCATGGATCAGACATACTAGACGTAAGAAGCTATCAAGGAACAGATGCAGACTCTGACCATCTACTTGTAAGGGTTAAATATAACTATTCACTACCTCCCTAGATGGTCCAGGAGTGCTGGCAATTAACCCATCCATACCCCCCTCATTTCCGGTCAATTAGGAACTTCCGTCGTCCACACCAAAATTATCATGTGAAAAGGGTTAAATATAAACAGAGAATAAGCATAATACACAATGGCAGAAATCAAAGAGAAAAGCTTGCCAAAAGGAAGTAGAAGCATCACAGTATGAAATAAACAGGGAAAACAACATAAATGAAGTGGGATAGGATAAAATATGCTATGAAAAAATCAGCAGAAAAAGTAGTAGGATTTCAGGAAAGTAACAGTTGAGTAGGCTGGTTTGGTAATGAATGCAGATAGACTGTCCAAGAAAGGAACAACACATGAATGACCATGATACAAAGGGAAACCAGAAATTATGGAAAAAAATATATAATGAAGCTAGATGTAAAGCCATGAAATGTGAAGGAAGAAAAAAAGAGAATGGGAAAAAGCTAAACTAAAAGAAATAGAAGATTTATTATGAGAGGGAAATATTAGAGGAATGTATATAAATATAAAAGACAAAAACAACAGATACCAAGCCAGACCAAAAGTGAGAGCAATGATGGAGAATTAATTATTGAAAATAGTAAAGTACTGAGGAGGGGGGCTGAAGATTTTGAGGGAATACTAAATGCAGACTAAGGACAAGATGAAGATTATGAACCACCACATGGAGGACTAGACCCTTTAATAACTTCACAAAGTCTTTGGAAGAAACTGCAGAAGTAATCAATTCTATGAAAAACCACAAAGCTCCTCGATAAGACCTCACCATAGCAGAACTTATTAAATTTGGAGAACTACACACTCAGAAACATAAACTTAAAACTAATATTTTTCAAGAAGAGAAAATTCCAACACAATGGGAAACAACAGTAATACCTGTAACCCCTATACATACAAAAGGTTCCAAACTTCAATGCACAAGGAATACACTTGAATGCACAAGGAATACACTTCAATACAGAGGAATTAACTAAATGTTACATACAAAATACTGACAAAAGCAATTGCCAAAAGACTACAACTGCACAAATAACAATGTGGTTTCAGACAAAACAGATCAACAACTGATCAGATTTTCACCATTAGATGCCTATTACACTTAAAGAAATGTTATGACTATAATATCCTATGACAGGGGTGAGCAAACTACGGCCCGGCAACTGATATTATGCGGCCCTCGAAGGCATTTAGAAATATATAAAAAAATTACTTTGTTTTTTAAGTTTTTTTGTGTGTATTTTTACAGAATTTCATGTATCATTATGATTGTTTTACCATTTTTTGATCAACTTTCTTTCTAATTTTATATTTTTTTAAACAGTCCTGACTTTTGTCATGTTTTACTAAATGCAAATTTACCGATTTTATAATAGAGAAATGTTTATTGACGTGTAAAAATTTGACATAATGGACATGCTGCCCCCCATAGCTTTACATTTGTCAATGTGGCCCTCCGCACAAAAAGTTTGCCCACCCCTGTCCTAGGACATCAACTCTGTGTGGACCATAAAATGGCCTATAACAGCATTAAAAGGAAATATCTGTATGAGACTCTGCAGGAGTTTGGCTTACCCAACAAACTGACAAGACTGATACATATACAGTCCTGTTTATCCCTACGCTTTCACCATAGTAACTACATTTTTAAGCCTAAGACTACATCGCTACAATGTGCCTAAAAATAACTACGGTTTTAGGAGTTTTTTCATTTGTTTGGTTTATTTTTAATAAAAAATAAATAATTGGGGTTTTTGAGTAAAAAGTTACAGCACTTTTTGTGTTAAAACCATAAGCAATTGAATAAGAATTAAATCCTTTAACAAATTGGAGAACCATAACTTATATATCTTTTTGTTGACTTACATAAGCAGCTGAGTGGATTTCCTGACACAACTTTCATTTTGATTGTGCACCCACCCCTTACCAAACTATTCTTTGGAGCTTGAAACTATGTTTTTGAGAGCTGAAAACTACTCTGACACTAACCCATTGGTAAACGTCTGCATTTAACATTAAACGAGGCCCAAGGAAGACAGCGAAAAAGATGGGAAGAAAACATCAAAGAGTGGACGGGACTAAAACTAGGCAATGCTGTGCGAAGTACAGAAGTCAGAGACAAATGGAGGATAGTTCACATGTCATCTGTGGCGCTCCAAGGGCTAAGGGACATGAGGATGAGGATGATGAAGGAGACTCACTGTCATGTTTGTTTTTTAACCTAAACTTAGTGAGGGTTATAAGAAACATTTATATTGACACCCAAGGAACAATCACAGGATACTTTCTGAAGGAAACCCAAGACCCCTAACCAATTGGCACTCTCAGCAACCAACCCCTTCAGTATCTTTCATATAATTATGACACATCACTGTTAGGGAAAAGAAGTAAAGATAAATCAAAAGCGAAAGCTTTTATTAAATAGAGGACACATCACTACATGCAGGGCTGTAGGTTAACTACCAAAAAACAAAATTACATGAATATTTTAAGAGCAGAACAGTACAGGTGAACAATTAAAATGAGAAACCACACTTTTGAAAAAGTAAGTCATTCAAATATCTTGGATCCTTTATAAATAAAATAAATTAATTACCAACAAATTAAAAAAAGAAAAAGAATATTGGCGGAAACGGGGCATACTTCGGTCATTATAAAATACTCAAAAGTAAAAACATTGCAAGAAAATCTAAGAAACAAAGAAAACTAAGAAATCAAGAGAATCAGACTAGTTGTAACATACGCAGGTCGATCCCGGTTTCCGGTTGGCAAGTCTGTTATGGCTTGTCGATTAGGAAGTGTCGGCCACCGACCCCCTCGGCGTGCCCCGGGAAACAGAACTACTGGGCACGCCTCGCGTGGGCAGACAAAGGGTGTGCTCGGTACCTGCCGTACATAAAACAGCTCCCACAGGGCTGCCAGTTATGATATTTCACAGCCTGAAAATTAGGCAGAGCCAGGCAGGGATCATGATTACAAGTTGCCGGTGACGGGTATGAGGCTAGAGGCGAGGGTGGTAACCTCTGGCCGAGGATTCAAACAATGCAGCCCTGAGAAAGCTGCCCCAGGCAACCGTTTCGTCCCAGCTACAGCGCGAGCTAGTTGCGTTGTGGAAACCCACTGTGGAATCCCTCTTATAGGGCGTCCGACGCTTTCCCGGGATGGGTGGGGGAAGATATTAGGACGTAAATTTTCCATCCCAACTCCATAAAAAAGTCGATCGTGTGCACTGTTTAGACGCATAGTGTCGGACCGACAAGGTGCCTACTGGTTGGGGCGGCCCCTAGGCGGGGCCCTGGTCGAGCGCCCAGGCGGGGGACCTGGGTGAGGGGCCCAGATGGGGGCCGTCCTGACGAGTGGGCATCCCCGACGTGCCGCTCTGCGGCCCGATGCGTCGGGGAGGGTTGATTGGGGGGGGGGGCATAAAGAGTGCAAACTTGCCCCGCTGACGCCATTTCTTGATGTAATAACATACGCAGGTGAAACTCGGACCCTAACAAAAATGACAAAACACCTATTAAATACATGGGAGAGAAAAGTTCTCCAGAAAATATACGAACCAAAAAAAAATGGAGAGTACAGACCAACCAGGAATTGTTTAGACTATATCCGGATCCCACTGTAGTAGCAGAAATAAAAAAGGCAGGCTACGTTAGGTGGGATACTTGCATAAAGAATGTCAAATGACAGAGGAGTGAAAAGGGTGCTCCACCAAAAGCCCAGTGGAAAACGGCTCAATGGCAGACCAAAGCTTAGATGGATGGACGATGTGGAGAGAGATCTACAGCAGCTGGAAATCCAAGTATGGAAAAAGAATCAGTTAGGTCTGAGTGGAAAGAAATGCAGGTCAAAACCCCACTTGGACTGCAGCGCCAAAGGAATGGATGGATATATTCATGACGGAGTTGTTAATGATTGTTAATAAGTGGTTGTAGATGTTCACGATAGAAACCATAATATATATGGACAGTTGTGGTTTATTGAATACAATATGTATTGTTAAATAGAGTTGTTTTAAATATTATTTTCCATCATGGTCATGGAATGTTGTGGTAGATCATGTCATAGCTTACTGTTGATTGTGTAGATGAGCCAATCTTAAAGCATGTTGAATGTTAAAAGAATGATTAGCCTAATTATTTTACTATTAGCATACATTTCAATATTCACAATTTAGGCCAGCCACAAGAATAAATTAATTTTCATCAATCATAATTTATTTAACAAAATCTTATCATTTGGTAATTGTTAAAACACTAACCGGAATACTGGACCACACAGTGCGCTAAGTCTGAATTCAAGTTTAACATTTTTTTATTAGTGTTACATAAATTATTCTTTTAATCTATGTGATATAGTTGTTACCATACTGTAGGAAATAGAATTGGGGTTTTGGAAATATAAGGCTAGCAAATTTACAAGCGCTTAAGAGTCTCAAAACAAATTTTATATGAATTTTTTAATTCTAAAAATAAATTATCATTATCTAAAGAAAATGAGATTACTGGTTAACCTCGTTACCTATCTTCAATTCAACGCTTTCTCACTACCCTTTAGAAATTGCTGCACATAGTTAAGTGAAGTACCAAACTGTTAACAGAGTTGTCTGTATTGTGGAAAAGGATCAGAAATTGAACATTTTAACTAAACCAATCTTTTTAATGTACTTAAAAAAACTATGTCTAGTCAGGTCGTAAGATATTAATTCTTCTGCCTATCAGTTGCTGATGTGGCAGCTGTCTGCAGGGTCAGGTTTCCACACATACTTATCTATTGGTCTATTCCAGTTTTCATTAGTTCTATCACAGTTTAATTTTCCCCACTGCTGTTCATTTTAATGCTATCATGGAAAGTTAATATAATGTAGTTTAGGTAGTTTTTTTAAATTTATAAATGAGCAGATTCTAAGTTATAAATATATTATGACTTAAAGACATTAATTTTAATTATTGCATGAAAAAGTTCTTAATGTGTGCATGTTTCTTCATGCTCTGACAGACATTTAACAAGTGTTGTTGCCTTTGCCAGGGTCCCATATAATATAAAATGCATTTCATATCTAAGTCACAATAAATATGTTTTTGCTATTGTCTGATTTATGGTAGAAGATTGGCCTCCTTGAATAAAAATTAGCCCCATCATCTTATGGAACACATGGTAAATGATAACTGCCATAGGGTCAAGAGCAAAGACAGCCATAATTATTTGTAGTTCCATATTCTTACCATGATTTGTGTTTCATGTTTTTGGATGTAATTAAGGGTTTTTACTGACAAATAAAGGTAATAAAATAATTACAATTTTGTGAAAGATAGATTCAAAAGAAACAAATGTTTGAATTTGTAATTTTCTAAATAGTTTGAAGCACAGAATAAAAAGAAAAAAAAAATATTATAAAAGAAATGAAACTGTTTCAAATAATTAGGACTTAGAATCAATATTTTCAAGAAATATATTATCTATGGAAATATTTCCTCAATAATAATTATTAAAGTAACAATTTTCATATAACAGAAAATGGAAGTTGATGAAAATAATCATCAAGGGATAAAACAATATTACATCAGCAAAATTGAAGAGCTTCAGGTAAGTCTTATTTATCTTTTAACTTACAATTCTAAATAAATTTGATGCTACCAGTACTTTAGAGGACTTATGAATATCCATAAAAAAAATTTTTTAAATAAAGCCCTAAAATGCTCTGTCCATGTATAATGTGATCTGAGTTAATCTTGTTCCATAACATGACTTTTTCCTCCAGATTGTTGAAACATAAGTTTATAAAAAAAGTTAACTCAATAACTTTGTCAAGACAGACAATATTTATTTCATTGGATTTAAACAGGAGGAATCAATTTTATTAGTGGTAGCATAATTAACTGATAAATTTACATTCATTGCAACTTAATTGCTACCGTCACCAAATTCATCACCTGAGATTCACTTTTGACAAAATTGCTATTCAACAGTTTAAAAACTCAAAGTTTTATGAAAATCAAACTTTTTTTTCATTTTAAATTTGTGATTTAGCCAAGAAGTATGCATATTATATTGCATGCACAGCGAAGGGGAGAGCATTAATATATTTTTCTTGTTTTATTATATAAAGTGGTAATGAAAAGATTATTTACGTGTGCTTATACTACAAATCCTTAAATTTAAGTTGTATTTTTTTAACATTAATTTTTGCATTCTAAGCTGTATTATATATAGTATTTATGTGCAAAATTCTTTAAGTTCAATTTTTAGTAGCTCTGAGAATCAAAATAAAATTGACACAAAGCTCTTTAAACTATACCAAGTATAGCAAGTAAAATTTCAAATTTTGAATTATTATTTTAAAAATTTAATTGTATTTTGAGTTTTTGGTGACTTTTTTATGTGTTAGTTATGTGGTTTCAAATTCTCATCCTGCTGATTTGTTTCTATTACAGCTGGTAGTGACAGAAAGAACTCAAAATTTAAGAAGACTTGAAGCCCAAAGAAATGAACTTAATGCAAAAGGTAGTACAGGATTAACTCTTGTATAAGTCAAGAAATGTTTAGTCATAAACTTCATTTTAAAACACAGAGTTGACTTATCCATGGGTTAGTGCTAGTTTTGATAGAATTTTTAAGTCCATTTAAGCTAATTGTTGTTGGGCTTCTAACTCCTGGATATAGCTATTCATGAGACAAGCAACTAAGCAAAACTGTATCCTTTTTATTTTACTTATTTTTTGTTGTGTCCATCTCCAAGAGACAATGTATGTATTTTTTCTTGGAGCGTCTTGGTAAAATATATATTATTTATTTTTAAGATACAATTATTCTTTTGATAATCCATCAAAATGTTTGTAAAAATGAATAAGCAAGTATTGCCTCTGTTAATAAGAATGGTGACAACTTTTACAAGTACAAATAAACCCTTGATTTTTTTTACATGAGAAATGGGCTTTATAGGATGTTTTGCGCTTCTTTCAATTTGACCTCCATACTTGAATTCTTGTAAAATATTAGTAATTATTATTGGTTTATTTCTTGTTACTTGAAAATTAACTTAGTTTAAGCCAAAGTCACTTGTAGAACTAGTGCAGTGAGATTTATTTTACATGATTACAAACATCACTTGCTTGTTTTTGGCTTATTTCTAAAAAAAAAACTGTTTTTGCATAACTATAATAATCAACATTCAGGTTTACATTATTATTAAGAAAAACTAATGCATGACTAATTGTTTTTCTGTTTAGTTCGATTGTTGCGAGAGGAACTACAGCTTCTGCAAGAACAGGGCTCCTATGTTGGTGAAGTTGTGAAGCCAATGGATAAAAAGAAAGTTCTTGTAAAGGTAATTTGATAATTTAGTATTGATTATCATAAATGAGTTCACCTTTGATTTTAGATATAACCAACAATGGAATAAATCTTTAATAAGCTGATCTGTTGACATAAAGGTAATCAAGGCCTGAATACTGTTAAAAAAATGTTACTTATAATTTTTTTTTGAACATGAATTTGTTTATTACTGCTTGAAAATTTTCTAGTGTTAAGCACCCCGTATTTGAGAAATGATGTTACTTTTACTAATGGGTCTCTACAATTAAACATGGAATGAGTAAAAATGTTAATTCTTCATACATTATTTTTAAAGGTTCACCCAGAAGGAAAGTTTGTTGTGGATATTGACAAAAACATTGACATGAACCAGGTTACTCCTAACTGTAGAGTGGCTCTTCGTAATGATAGCTATGTTCTCCATAAAATTCTACCAAACAAGGCAAGTACTGTAATTTTTTAATTAGGTTAGCCAGCACATTTTCATTGAGTAATTACAAGACTTAGACGGGCAAAACTGTTTAAGATATTGCATAGGCTTAGTGCATTGTTTGCAATTGCTTGAAAAATGAGTAATGTTAAGTTTATTGAAGAAAATGAGGTTAATTAAAACCTCAAGCCTGTATTAGCCTTAGTGGACACTAATAGTACTATAAACATTTGGTGCCTTAAACATTGCAACTAAAGGTACATAACAATTTTTTTTTTAATTATATCTTTGTAGATGTTAACAAACATAAATTAAGAGTTCCCACTGACCTTTTAAGATTTTATTAGTGAAATGATGACACAATGTTCACTTACAGGTTGATCCTTTAGTGAGTTTAATGATGGTGGAAAAGGTTCCAGACTCAACTTATGAAATGGTTGGAGGTTTAGATAAACAAATAAAGGAAATCAAGGAGGTCATTGAACTCCCAGTAAAACATCCAGAACTGTTTGAAGCTCTTGGAATTGCCCAGCCAAAGGTGATTTAATTTAAATGGTTTTTTTCCATCCCATTTCCCTATCTGATGGCAACAAAACAACTGGTACATCCACAATTGACCACTCTAAAGTCACAGCTAAGCAACTGAAATAATGTGGTGCCATACATAGAATTGCTAGAACATTGTGAAGTATCTGTGACCTTTAATCTAAATATGTCTGAAAGATAAAGTTTTCAAAGACGAGCTTTGCTCTCTTTTCCAACCAATGCACTTGGGTTTAAAGTATGCCTGAGCCTATGTAAAGTTTTTTTTTTATAAATTCAACACATGATGTTGAAAAAATGGAATTGTTTTCTTTCTTTTTTTTTTTCTTACCTCAAAATAAAAATGGTTTAAATCAGAATTTATTTTAAAGTTTTGCATATAACTTATAATAATTTTTTATGCAGAGGCAAGTTTAACATGGTATGCCACATAAATTAAAATTTGGTACCTTTTAATTTATTTAAAAGGATGTTAATAAATCACACCTAAAACCATGGAGGAGAAATTAAGTAAAATTATTATTCACAGTTTACAAGTGCAATTATGACTAAATAGAAATCTATCTTTTAAGGGTGTATTGCTGTATGGCCCCCCAGGAACAGGAAAAACTTTGCTAGCCAGAGCTGTTGCACATCATACAGAATGTACATTTATCCGTGTGTCTGGCTCAGAATTGGTGCAGAAATTTATTGGTGAAGGCTCCAGAATGGTTCGAGAGCTTTTTGTCATGGCAAGGTTTGTAGTGTTTTTATTTTAATGTTTATTTTTAGCCATAAAAGTCAATACCGTTACAGCAGTTTTAATGACCTTAAATGATATGTATCCCCTTCAAAACAATGCACAGTTACATCGCAACCCCTCTGAAACATAGGAGCCAGAATGGTCAATACATTGATAGTGGGCCCTCAAAATATAGAAAAAAGAAGATATGTTATAACTTGATCAAGGGACTTTAAAAACTCATTGCAAGCAATGTATTTAGCATTATTATTTTAAACCTTTTTAAACAGGAGTTCTTAAACTAACTTTGATTTATAAAATGAGCTAGTTTTTCTCTCACAAAAGGTCTCTAAATTTGAATAGTTTATAGATTGTAACATATCTAATTACCATCTGTTAAAAGGGAACATGCCCCATCAATCATCTTTATGGATGAAATTGACTCTATTGGATCTTCTCGACTGGAAAGTGGGTCTGGAGGTGAGTTAAATACAGTATAGTTTACATAATTTTTAATGGACTAGAATTAATTGCGTTTTTTGTCACTCCATCTAGTTTTATTAAGGAATATCTATTCTAGTCAACCTTATAATATAGGATTTTTTATTATTTCTTAGTTGGAACTAAACTTTCTTGGTGTTATTCCATTTTATAAGAATTAGCAATGCAAAATATTCAATCACTGTTGTTTGACAAAAGTATACAACTAACTCATATTTTTGGAAAAAAATTGAAATGCAATGCAAATTTTAAAATAGTTTGATCACATTCAGATGTTTTAAAAATAAAATGTGGGAAAGGCACAGTAATCTATTATCTTTCTTCAATTAAAATTTCAGGTGACAGTGAAGTGCAAAGAACCATGTTGGAATTGCTAAACCAACTCGATGGATTTGAACCAAAGCAAAATATTAAAGTACTGTAATTTATGCTTTTTTAAAGTCAATTTATTTTTAAGATTTACAGAAAAGGAATTGCTTTCTTTCAGATTCTGATATTGAAATTCTCTTAAGCTTAGATACTACTCACTTATCTGTAATAATAAATAGCGCAAGGTATATTTATAAATATAAAAATCTTCAATACAAATCTAAGACTGTAAAAAATTAATGATTAATGGATGTCAGCTGAAAAATAATTCAGTGAATAATATTCTCCACCTTCCTCCTTTGGTGAATCTAACTTACAAATTATTTTTCTTATTTATTTAATAATAATTTTTACAGGTAATCATGGCAACAAATAGAATAGATATTCTGGACTCTGCACTACTTCGACCAGGAAGAATAGATAGAAAAATAGAATTTCCTCCTCCAAATGAAGAGGTCAAATATTTGATGTCAATTTTTACTTAAACTGTGAATTGACATAAGTCATTAATTTATTTGTATTCTTACACCATTGCTTTTTATTAATAGCTCCTGCATTAAATTTTGCTAAATACTCTTATATGCTTCAGTAAAGGGTTATAACTACATTTTAAAAAGTACGTTTTAGTTGGAATCCTGAAATTTGTTAAAGGAATGTTGTCCCAAAGGAAATTTGTCATAAAATAAAGTATGATTTTTTTTATTTTTTTTTGTATGTGCAAAAGTAACTGGTAAACTTGCAGAATAATAAGGATTTTTTTCTTGCCAACTTTTTCTGAAAATATACAGGCACGTCTTGATATTTTGAAAATTCACTCACGGAAAATGAATCTTACTCGAGGCATCAATCTTCGTAAAATAGCTGAGATGATGCCTGGGGCATCTGGTGCAGAGGTTAAGGTAAGTTGAAATTTATAAACATGATATTTTAAATACTGGTATTTATTTTTCAAAATGTTCTTTTATTTCACAGTTCATTGTGCTTAATGCTATTTAAACAAGAAAATCTCAACACTTATATATTTTATTTTTTTTTAAACGGCCATAAAATGGTAATGTATCTGAAACAGAACATTTAAATAAATCAAATGAAATTAAATTAATGTATATTTTACAACTGTTTTGTCTGATACATGGACAGACATTTAATTTTAATTATGCAAATTTTCAGGGTGTCTGTACAGAAGCTGGAATGTATGCTCTAAGGGAACGCAGAGTCCATGTGACACAAGAAGACTTTGAGTTAGCTGTAGCAAAGGTATGTATATTTTATCTGCAAATCAAACTATGGAAATAATGCTATAGGAATACATTTGAAAGTTGAAATCCTGTCTGCTATCATGTTTTCAAAAAACAAATAATAATAATAAAGTTTATTTGAATAACGCGCTTCATCCCCAAAAGCTCGAAGCGCGGTACAAAGTCAACCAAATTAAAAAGAGAAATAAAAACAATCTAAAATTGACCACATTTAAAAAACAGACGCAACAATATAAAACTACATACGAGCATACCAAGTCAAAGTCTTTCATCCCGTTTCAACCATAAGCAACACAGGCCAATATACATTAACTGAAAAAGATGGTAGATAGCATCACCCCAGAAGGTGTTTGCGAAATAGATGTGTTTTCGAAATAGATGTGTTTTTAAATCGGTTTTAAAGGACTCCAGTGTCTGGCTGTTTCTGAGAGCGACTGGAAGGGGGCTCCAAATTTTTGGGCCGGCAAATGCAAAAGTGCGCTTTCCGTAAGTCTCAAGGCGAACACACGGTATCAATATTTTGCCACTATCGAATGAGCGAAGCTCTCTAGTAGGTACATAAGGCGTCATGAGTGCTTTGAGATAAGATGGCGCCAGGTCACGTAAGCAGCGGTAGCACAAAGTTGCAATTTTGTACTCTATGCGAGCGCGGACCGGCAGCCAGTGCAGCTCTCTCAGAGGAGTTTTAGCAATGTTCCTAAACCATGACTCAATTGTCAATAATCTAAACAATTTTTTACATAGGATTTGATTTGGCCTTGTGATTTTACTTAAGTAAACAATTCTATTTACTGAAAACGTAACATTTTTAAAAACTTGATCAACTTAGTTTAAAGGCTACGTACACATTTTCTATATCTATATATATCATATTTTGATTATTTGGTGCGCCATGCCATTAATAATCAAGCAAATTCAAATTTAAAACACATCTAACATTTGATTAGTAATTTTTTTCTATCTGATTTCTTTTTATTTCAGATCATGCTAAAGGACTCAGAGAAAAATATTTCTATAAAGAAACAATGGAAATAATAACCATAAGCTGCCATGCAGTTGTTTTTTTTTCTACTTTAAATCATCGGCTAGAGAAAACATCTTAAAATGTTTTTGGTTGGAATTTAATTCTTTAATATATTTTTTTTTAGAAATCAAGGTTTTCAGTTGGAAGAATCATTTTGAAATTATGATGAGCATACAAAACATAAAGTTGTAAATGTTATTTACCATTTAGACTATTTTTTTTAATAAAACCACTGATACCTAATCAGGCCAAAGTTTGTGTTATAATTTCCTATTTTGTTTTTCCCATTTTTAGCAAATAAAGCATTCATTTAAAATAAAAATTGTTGTTATTTGAGTCTTCATACAAATTATTAAGTCATGAATTGAGTTAATTTTAACTGGAGCAAAGATATCAGGAGCAAGTCCTTTTAAAAAAAAATTTTTTTTTACTTTTTGGTTAGCAGGATCCTACTAGGAAGACTGTGTTTAAGTTGAGACTGGGAGTCATCTTTGTATCTTTAATGACAACATAGAATTTAAAAATTATTTATATACTACAGGAAATCTGCAAAGCATAAAATAATCATATAAGTTATAGTCTAAGCTTAAAATAAACTTTGGCTAAAATTTGTTTCAGAATATCATTTGTGTCTTATAATAACATATCTAATAAGAGTTAAGAGAAGCAAATTTTAAAACGGTTCTGGATATTGCATTTTATGAAAATGTTATTTTTACGTCTATTACCCTTTAACTTTAAAAGAATGCTGAAACCTAAAACTAAAACACAAATAGTGTTGGCAAAAAAGTCAACCTTTTAAATAGGACCAGCCTCTCATTTTGGTAACATGCGTTTGCAGCCCTGAGTGTTGATTCGCTGAAATATAAAATATTGAATTTATGAAATCAGGTATCATTTTATTATGGGTGATAAATCTCATACCGATAATTCTCTTAGTATGCATGTCTGGAGTGTTACAAATTTAGCAGAGGAAACTGCAGCTATTTCAAGAGAAATAATTCATGTTAATTTTACTTAAACAAATGAATGTTTCCCTTTATGGGCACTGATGAGTTACAACTTATTTTTGGATATTGGGCACTTTGGTATTAAATTGATTTTGCTCCATCATTTTTGGATGGCTATTACTAGTTTAAAAAAGTTTGTAATCATGTATTTTAAATAGAGCATTTAATATTGGGTTATTTTTTAGCTGGTTCATATAACTATTTTAAAGGTATTTTTCTAAATATGGCTAAGCTACTGAAAGATTTTTTGTTTGTAGACCAGTTGAATTCTCTACAGACTACAGTAGATAATCGATAGAAGTTGGATGGCATTTTCATAAATATGATGTACACTGGGGAAAAGAAGGTAGAGAATGATGGATTTAAATTCTTATACAATTTCATGATATATAATATGAATTCATATGAAGAGGAGCAGGAAAAGCTGCACCCGGCTGAAGCCTCAAATTAATGCCCCTCTCACAAATGACATGCCAAAAAAGTTTTGTTGTCATGAATTTTCCTTCTGGATTAGCAACCGTCAGAGGTCAACAAGTCCGATCTACCACAAGTGTTTTTTGTGCTGCACTTGTCTGCCTTGATCCTTGGTATTGCTGGAATTTCAGCTCGAGTCCATGAACATGTATGTTCTGGTGTCTCCATACTTGACCAGCCAATCCGCCATTTTCTATGATTTTCTTTAATAATTATTTCTTCAATGACTATATTTACTAGTTATGTATTCATTTTTCAAGTATGCGTTTTAGCATGTGTTCTCTTTCTTTAGTGTGTTTTTCCTGCATTCACTCATTCACATTTTTCATGCCACAGTATTTTTTTTCATGTGAATAGCAGTATTTATGACAATGGATTTTTATCCATGTGCATTTTCTTAGCCAAATCACCAACTTAATGACAATGCCAACTAACCTTAATTTAGATTTAATAAAACATAGTTTTTTTTAATATTTGAAACATTGACTAAAACATATAGGTCAACATTATGTTTTGTAACTTGGTGGAGCTGAGAATGGAAAAAAAATAATATTGCCACTAAAAATCATGTATTGTTTATACATGATTATTTATATTGTTGGCAGGCCTACACAATGAAAATCATAATTTGACAATTTAAAATGTCATCATGTCAACATTCTTACTCTATGGTTGTCCATATTAGGTTTTTTTAAATTTTCAAATGCTTTGTCCGTTTGTCCACTTAATATTCTTCTTTAAAGTTCTATACTACCATTTCAGCCTTATATTCTTACACTAAGGTCTGATATTTGGATCCATTTTATATTGTAAGTTTAAAACATTTCAAATTCATTGTACCTGGACCTGGTAACTACATAGATTTAATGTCAAGCAAAACAATCTTCCATCATATGTATAGGCAACTAATATAATATGATTAACAGATAAATCATAGGTGTCACCAGGGCTGTGCAGAGGAATTGTGGGCTCTACATTTTAAAATAATTGTATTAAACGTATAAATTTCGACCCTTCGGGACCCCAAAGCGGACAGGAAAGCAAGTATATAATATAAGCAACGTGACCCGCGACTCCGGTACATTTAAAAAAGACTTCAAATATCGTAAAATAAAATTATTATGGGGTCACGGGTCACTGAAATAGGTTGAGACTCAAAAAAGTAACCTGTGGCAGAGCTACAATTCAATTGTTTTTAAATTCCCAAGCTTTTGTAAAAATATTTCCCAAGATCATGAAAATATATTAGAGTTTTGTTAAAAAAATCTTGGTAATTTAAAAAAAAAAGTGAGTTTTGGTCCTGAATGGGGTAATGAATTCCCAAGATCTTGGGAAAATTCCCAAGGTGTGGCAGCCCAGACCTATGGTGACTGATCAATTGTAGTGCTCTTTTACGATTGAAAATAGTGTTTTTCATAAATCACGAGTTTAATTATCAATCTCTCAAATAATAGATTCGATTCCATTAATAAGGGAAAATCGCAACATTCAGTTAACAAAACACAACTAAATTACATGGGGGGGGGGGGGGGGG